ATTTTCTTATTATAAAAAAATACTTATATTATAGTTTTAAAGATGCCAAAATGTCTAAAAAATTTGGTGACAAGGTTTGCACGTTCTACTATGAATGCTGTCAATCGTATAAAGTACAAAGAAAGTATGAAGATTCAAATCGAAAACAGTGAATGCGTTATGACTGCAAAGGAAAAATTATAGTAAAAGTTGACATGGAACTTAGTACCTCTGTGGTAGACATTTATTATGGAATTCTTCATCCACGCTCAGATCTTTGTTCTGAAATGCCTATTGAATTACGAGAAAAAATTGAGGCAAATACACATCTTACTATTACACAACTTACAAATCATCTATGACGCCAAGGGTTTGATATTAATAAATATTCTCCAAAACGAATCTATTATTGAAAATCCATAGCAGGTAGAAGCTTTTTTTAACGCCACGATAATCATGTAGAATCTGCATGTATATTGCTTGAAGAGCATTATAATCAAGGTTTCCATCAGTGTCTTGATATACCAAATTTAGAATCTACTGCAATTGCATTTACCACCCCAATATTAAATAAAATTAATAATTACAACATTAATGTTAGTGAAATTTATGTTGATGCAACTTATAAAACAGCAAAGGGGCGTTTTGAGTTGTATTGCATAATAGTGGATGTGAATAGAACTGGATTTCCACTAGCCTATCTAGTACTAGATATGGCATGAACAGCAGATTTAAATAAGCACGGTGAAATCTTGCAAAAATTTTTTGAGGCTATTAGAGCATATAATATTAACCTACTTTTCGTATTTACAGATAAGGATTTCGCAGAGATAAATGCTGCAATGGCGGTATAGAGACCATCAATAGTACAATTATGTGCTTGGCACATTAACCAGGCCCTAAAATTTAAACTTAAAGAGAAGATTAAACGATCAGGAAGTAATAGATTGTTAACTGTAAATTATAATATTAGTAAAGCATCTGAAGAATTCAACTTTATCGATCAAACTTTCTATCCAACCAAAGAAGATCGAAACATATATACGTATATTATATGCCCACAGGTGTATCAAGAGGCAATTTTGAACTTGGTACAAAAACATTTTGATCTACATCCGTTTATACCAATTAACAGCCAGGGTAATGTTTCAACACCTGAAAATATTAGATGAAGTACAGTAAAGGAGATGTACCAATTTTGTGTTATTAATGAATTATGGTTATTGTGAGCTTACCTATGAACAAATTGGTATTCTCCACAACAGTGGCACCTGTGGGCACGATTGACTAAACCAACCATACCCTTAAGCACCCTAGGCTAGATTTAGTTCTTTGGACACTCTTTAAAGAAGTAGTTCCAGCTCAAAAAGAACGGTTCTCTCAGCTCTTGAGTGGTATAGTGGAGCCATGGTGGTGGAGTGATTTCAAAAGAGAGTGGAACTATGCTGGCGCAAGTGAGGAACAAAGAAAAGAGATACATAAAAAAAACAAGAGGAAATGGAATATTAATACAAGAACAACAGGACCTACTGTATTCTACTTTACTGACAGTACTCATTGCCTTTCTTAGCAGCCGTTTCCTACTATGTAAACATCTAGTCCGGAAAGTTGTAAATCTACAAAATGGAGATCGTCAGTGGTTGATTAGAAGCGACTTTGAACATCACACAACACCACCATTCTTTAGAATAAAGGGGTCTGAAACCATAATTAACGCCTTGCCCATATCACCTAAAATACCAATCAAACCCATGATTTTGATGATACACCTTATACAACTCCTGAAGAGGATGCTCGCACTTTTGTTGAATCAAATTGGCCTTTGTTCGAACGTGCATTTAAACATGTCTGTGTAAAAAAGTCAGCTAATAACTGGAAATATGCTTGTGCAGTTATAGAGTGTAGCAAATTGTTAGAGATAGAGAAGGAGGTGCAAGTAGTGGAGTGAAAGAAGTATTGGCAAGCAACATGGGCTCCAGAAAATAAAAAACCATACCTAATGTACCTATCATCATCGCTGGATGAAGTAAATAGCCATGACGACCAGAGTGTAGAAGTCATTGATGATTAACGTCCTCTATTAATCTCTGCTGGATCTTATTTATTTTGTGGCTTTATTCCTGTATTTATAATATATTTGTAATATATTTAGTAAATTGAAATAATAATCTTGCTTGAATTAAAGAGAATTAGTTTTTCATTGACCATACATACCGATATAAAAGAGAAAATCGATATATATCTCTATTTGATAATCGATCGTTCATCTTGACTTCCCTCATTGGTCAGTTCGAAATAAATGATCCATCTACCTGCAGCTGCGGCTGTGGCATAATCATATGACCCGTAATTTTTAGGGCCGCCCTGGTCGTATCTGAAGCATACACCAATGATAATTTACCACTTTTATATCGATATGTAATACACATTTTAAATTAATTTCGTCTTGTAAACTGAGAAATGGAAGATACTACACTGTCGGCTTTATGCAATTCTGTAGGAGCCATGATTATGGCTTTAATTATCGCTTATCATTACGTTGTTGTTAACGATAAAGATCCTTCTGAAGGGGAAGTTTTAAATGATTCTTCTAAAGGTGTGGTTATTAAAGATTCTAAAGTAAAATCTTAATTATTTGGGATCCTTTGGAAATTATACTCACTGACTTGATTAAGGTTTGATATTTGTCTTTAAAATTTAGTTTGAATTAGGCAATTCTTTTAATACTTTTACTAAAATGCATCTATAATGGTTTATATATTATCCTTAGGGATGGTAAAAAAACGGTTTAAACAGTTTTTTAAACGTTTTTTATTGGGTTAAAACTTTTTTAAAACAAAATATTGCTTTTGATTAATTAATTTTAATTTTTAAAAAAGACATTGCTATATAATTCGAATTTATCAAATATTACGTAAAAATTAATATATTTGTTCGTTTCAATTTTTATCAAAGCTATCGATCGCTATTATTTTTAAATGCGAAATTTGCTTGTCGGCTAATACAACCTTTCATTCCATATTAGTTTTACATTTGTTAGTATTGAGGTCCAAGGTTTACAATATTGTCACTATGTAATAAGATTTCGAATAAATTATTTGAAGAATCAGAATAAATCTTAAATATTTCTTGGAAGTTTTTTTTTACATTTTAATGAATGATCTTTTAATTGGTCAACTAAATCAACACAGTCTTCTTCGCAATAATTATATTTTTGGCGAGGCGTTGTTCGATCATTTTTATTATCAGGTTCAGCAACTTTTGTAAGGTTTAACTGGACTTCTTTTGACGAGGATTTTCACGAACATGAGACATTGTTTTTGAAGAATTTTCTTATTTAATTTTTTTTTTTTTGAACTTTGTAATCATAATACATTTAAATTACGCAGTCGAATCATAATTACATAATTACATCATATATAATGTATTAACCCATTTTTTAACAGAATTAAACAAAAATTAGCAAATTAATCGGTGCATGGTGCAAACTTACGCTCAAAAACCCTTCCCATATTTTAAATATATCCTTAAATTTAACATTAACGTGAAAAATATTTAATTTTTAAAAAATAAAAATATAATAAAAACATATAGGCGCAAAACACCATAGATCCGATTTTAAATTTTTAACTGTTTTGTACTTTTTCCAATAAAATGAACACGAGATACGAAAATTTGTCAGAAAAGGAACGATCGAGAATAAGGCATTATTAATACGTCAAACAATTTATTCATTTTTTTTATATGTCTCTGCTAAAGTTTTCATATAATCAGGATTTTCTATACGTAAACTCTGAACATCAGCCTGTGCATTTGGCAGTATTTCTATCTCTGATACCACGACATTTGTTGGTCTGGCAGCTACAAACACTACACATTCGGCTAAATAATTTATGATAGAATAAATTAGTAATTAAAAATCTATTTTATTAAAATTTGAAAAATTAAAAAACTGACCAACATCTTGAGGAATGAGAGGTTCGTAACCCGAATAATAAGCATCCGAAAATTTAGAGTTTCCATAACTTCTAATCAGTGTAAATTCACTTTTGACCGCACCTTTTAATAATTACACAAAAAAATGAATTTGATAGATACGTAAATAAAAAAAATTGTAGAATAATTACCTGGTCTAACCAAAACAACTCGGATTTTGGTTGATAAAAGTTCTTTCCTTAGAGACCTTTAATAATGGCATATCCTTAACATGACGAAAATGGAGTGACATAGTGATGACGCAAAAAATTTGGCGATATTGTGATCTCCGGGCCAAATCGGAACGGAAAGTGTCTCGAAAATTATTTCGTTAAACTATCAATATCTAGATCTCAATGGTAATTTTCCAACGCCTTTCATTCCGATTCGTCTCGGAGATCACGGTACCGCCAAATTTTTTGTTCCATCATTATGTCACTCGCGAAATGCGCAATGTACGTGATTTAGTCCAACCAAATTGTAGACCAGGCGTAATGTAAAATAAAACAATAATAAATCGAATTCGGATTAATGACATCACATATCTAAAATAATTGAGCATACAACTCGATTGGAATTAAATCAAGTGCACCATACATTTTTTCGCCATGTCAAGGGTACTAAATAGAAACATAAACACGTCATCAAAAGTGCTATCTCCATAACAAATATTTTAAATGCGAAGGATACTTACTCAGTAATTCCTTCAATAGCAAATTTCGAACTAGAATACACGGCATTACCGAATCCATGACTTCGTTTCCCTACAATATATTAACGATTGGTAAATTAATTAAATATAGCTTATAAGCAATTTATGTAAATTATTGCATACCAGAAATGCTTCCCATATTAATAATATCCCCTGAATTTCGTTCCTTCATTTTTGGTAATACAGCTTGAGTCATATATATTAGACCATAAACATTTGTTTCTATTGTTGCTTGAATATCTTTTTGAGAATTCTCTTCTAACGGATCAAAACCGAGTGCTGTACCAGCCTATATAAAATTGACATTATAGATAATCTATGAAACTTAAATGCGAAAGGATCTCTTCTGGTATAGGTAACACTAATGAAATTTTCAATTTCTGAGAAATTAGCCACATAACATAATCGTGCACCACTTCAGCAGAATCGGAGCTGATCGCACAATCATTTAATATCTTAGGAATTGAGCATTATTGATTAATTCTCCGTGATTTCGATGTCACCTATACTAAGAGAGGCCCGTGAAATTTTATTCATACATTATTAACCAACACATCTATATCTTTGAATCCAGGTGGAAGATTTGCAATTGCATCATCAATTTCCTGTTTATTTCTTATATCAACCACAGAAATATGGATTTCACATGATGGATAAGTTTCGAGAATTCTGGACTTAAGATCATTGAGGCGATCTAATCTTCTTGCCAATAAAATGTTTCAAAAAAGATTAACGTTAAGGATAACATAATTCCCATTAGTTTTTGATCGGTATAATAAATTATTAAGGATATGAGCTTTGAATTAGCTTTGGCAAACTCTAAAGCTATTGCTGCACCTATACCTGATGAGGCACCTGTACTATTAATTATTTTTTGAAGTCAATTATATATAATCTTTTGAGAGTGCCAACTCAAATAATTTAATGACCCACATTAAGATAACACGTTTCTGCAAGTTGTAAGACATTCTTAAAGAACCTCCAAAAATTACTTTAATTTTAGCGGTTACACGAGAATTTAATTTAATGTTATACAGTTATACAAGTTGTTTTATCATTACGGTGAGAGAAATTTCTTCCTTTTATTTTATTTATTTATTTTACACTATATATTCATGTAAATACGAGCACGAATGAAATAAGGTATGAATTGGCTAATTATATCTGATATCCGTCATATCATTTTGCATGGCAATGATTGTTACACGGTGTTACGTATCACACATAAATAATAAAACATCAGATATCGATATATAACTTTACCGATTAATTTTTTCCTCCAACTCTCTTACAAAAGACTGGATTTATGATAGCGCTTATAGTAATGCGAACTTTTTTGCATAACGAAAAAGTGTCATGGATATAGAGAATAACTTGGCGCCGTTTGTAGTAACGGCAATAGCAGTGTTTGCCCTTGCAACACCATTTCTTGCAGTGTCGGCACCTAAAAACAAAAATTCAAAAAATAAGAGAAAGTCGGCTTCTGGAGATAAAAAGTCGAATAATAGCTACGTTTATGGTTTATTTAATCAAGGAAATAATATTTGTTTCCTTAATGCTGTTTTGCAAAGTCTTGCCTCATTGAAGAACTTACGTACTTATCTAAGAAAAAAGCTTGAATCTACTGCAAATCATGAACGACTAGTAACATACGCTTTATATACTACTCTGGAAAAACTTAATGAACCAATAACTTCGCAAGATTCATTTAATCCAACATCTATAGTTTGGGCTTTACAAACAGCAAATGTAAAACGTCTTATTAATAGACAACAACAAGATGCTCATGAATTATTTCAACTTTTATCAGAGTCATTAAGTGTTGAAGATGAGATTAGTCGACGACCAAAATCTCTCTTTGATGTTGATACTTTAAAATTATTAACTAAAAATAACGCTAATACCACTATTAGTTTAACATCTGGTCGAAACCCTCTTATCGGGTTAACCGCATGTCGAATTTCTTGTATGAAATGTAGTTATTGTGGGCCTATTAGGCATTCTTCTTTCGATAACATTTCAATTCCTCTTCCAAAACAAAATGTTGTAACTTTGGAAACACTTCTCAAAACTTATTCTGGAATAGAATTTATTGATGAATATAATTGTCCACAATGCAGTTTATCGGAATCATTGGCTGTTATAGAAAGGCGATTAACCATTTCTGACAAAAAATATTTAAATAAATTGGAGGCTGATAAGAAAGTTATTAAAGAAGCTCTAGCTACTGATGTTGATTTAGATGATAGTAAATTGAAATTAAATATGGCTGAATTAATTCGTATGAACCTTCCGGCTACAAAACAAACCATGTTTGCAAAACTTCCTGAAGTCATGGCAATTCATTTTTCTCGTTCAATTTATCTTCAAAATGGGATGACTTTAAAAAATTCTTGTAGAGTTTTATTTCCTGAATTAATAGATCTTGCTCAATATACAACCACTGGGTATCTTGCAACAATGCCTAGCGAACCCCTTTCCTCTCCACCTGCATCACCGACTAATTCATCACCTGCATTATCCCCAATTTTGGCCGAAATTAATGACGCACATCGTAACGTTAGTGAAGCATTTTCCGCTGATGCTTCAATTTATCGACTAAAATCAGTAATAGTCCATTTGGGTGATCACAGACTCGGTCATTTTGTGACGTATAGACGGCAAGAAGATGCGCCAAATGCTTGGTGGCGCATATCTGATGAAAATGTTGAAGAAGTTAGCTTGGCGAAAGTATTAGAACAAGAAGCATATATGTTGTTTTACGAAAAGGGTCAAAGTTGATTTTTCCCCCTCTTTTTTTTTTTTTTTTGAATAGCATGTAAATATAATTTTTACTCGAAGTTTTTTAATTTGTAAATATTGCATTTTTGCTTCTTTATCGCAAATAAAATTATAGCCATGTTTTTTTTATGTTTTTTTGTGAATGAAATTTTTAATCTTGATTATGTAAATATTTCACGTGATATTGAAATAAAATATGCATATGTATTATATGTATTTTTAGATCAATTTTATTTTAAAAAATATTTTCGGTTTATTTTTAAAATGGGTAAAAAGAAACAAAAATCTCCAAAATCTGGCAAATCGCCAAATACCACAAATAATATTATATCACCAACTACAGTGCTATCGACAGAACATTCACACCAAACCACCAATCCAACTTCTACGATCAATGCTACCACTTCAACAACCGACACTACTCATCAGTCTCATAGTAATTCTCACCACACTCGTTCTCAGCATGCAAAAAGCACTGATCATAACAAAGATCCACAACAAAGTAATGATATTGATCAAGATAATGCACAAGAAGAACAAAAGGGATTTAAAGGGCAAGCTAAAAAGGATATGCAAAATGTTGAAGGATATGTGGCAGAACGAGAGGGTGAAGTTATTGATGAAGCCAAATTAGACAAGGTAATTGAATTAATTAAATTTATATTTATTATTATTTTTTTTTATATTGTACTATTAATGAGAGACGGCATGAATCGGTGAAGAGGAGCCGGTTAAGAGAGCGTAATACTTTTTCCTAAATAATAAAAAAAAAAAATATGGCGGCTTATTTAATGATAATCTCGTAATCTGATGAATTAGTGGAATTTTAAATTATTTTTATCTAATTCCCAGCTTTGAAAGAAAATTCGAATTATTAAATAGTTAAAAAAAAAAATAGCATCTGAATAAACCATTTTAATAGATTGATTTATTTATATTTGTTTATTATTTTAGGCCATGACGTTTGTAAATGAAGAGAAACAAAAGCGTAATGCACAAAAACTTCAAAAGTAAATTTACGTATTTTTATTTGGTTAGATTAATTCGTATTTTTCGGTTTATATATTTGAGAATAAACTGCTAATCAATTTCATCTCTTTTATTGATTTTTATTCACAAAATTCACAATAAAATCCCTATAATAATACCAATTACATTTTGTAGGCAAAAAGATGCAGAAAAAATCACAGTATCAAAAGAAGATATTGAACTTATTGTAAGTGCCATTTTATTATTGGAATTTCAAATCAATATACCTGGCTTATTTTCTAAGACATGATCTCTTATTGGTTAGATAAATGAAACGGAAGTAACAAAAGCCATAGCTGATAAATATTTAAGAGAGAATAAGGGTAATGTAGTGGAGGCATTAAAAGCAATAGTGAATGCCTGTTAACGAGTCAGGATGTTAAAATTTAGTTTGACAAATATTTTGGGTAAAAACAATTCCGAAGAAATTTCAGATTTGATTAAATTATCTGAAATCAGTAATTAACCAACTTTTAATACGATTCAAAAACTAAAAATCGTTATTGCTTATTTTATTAATAAATAAAGCAGTAACATCAATCATTCAAAGCTTCCCTGTTTCATCCTATATATAAAATATTTAATCAAAGTGATTTAAAAGTTAAGTTTTGATGCGTCGATAGTTACTTTTTGATTCACTTGTTATCTATATGTCGATATGTCGTATGTCTGTAACGTATAAGAATTAGACGTATCAGGCTGTTCTCGATTTTTTTTCAACAGAAATTCGATCTGGTTTCTGAATATATTATAACTTAATTCCTTTAAATTTTTATTTTAATCTAATAATACTGTATAATTGGTATACTGTATACTATATATATATATATATATATATTATATAACTATATACAGAGGTTTGCTATTTATCACCACTGGTGATTATCATCAGTGTTGCTATACTGTATCTCAAAAAGAGAGATTGGATATACAGTACCAAGTATATACTGTAGAACCTTATACAACCTCTTTAACTGCACCCAAATCCTAAATTTTAGCAAACATTATATGTGGTGGTAAACACTATTTGTGATATACATAAAGCATTTTTTTAAAAAAAACTAAAAAACAATTGGTTTTATTTTTTTCTATATTTTAAAATATTTTTTAATACTGTAAAATATATACAGTTTTACTAAAACACCAGTGGTGTTCAATACCACAATCGTTATATACTGTATATCTCAAAAGCTAGCTAAGTAATAATACCAGGTGCTCAAGTAAAAATGTTTAGCACCCCCAAAAACCTTATATTAATCTAAATTTTAACCTCTAATACGTACTAACCCTTACCTTAACCTATACGTAGCAACATTCTAACCTTAAATTTTACGTACTACGTAGCAAAAAAAGGTATGTGATGTTGAACAGCAGTGATTCGATTTAGTGTTATTGAATATATATATATTATATATTATTAATAAAAAAATTAAAGTTTTTTAATAAATATTACGTACGTATAAATTTGTAAACTTTTAGTTATCAAGAAAAAATCCAAAATTAATTTTATTAAATACTTTATTCTACAATACTATCACAACAATAAAAACCCGAATGATAATGAAAAATCAAGACGTTTGCTTCTTAATTTATTTTCATTCCAATTTACGTTGGCAATAAACAAAACCATATTTCAAAACTAACGACCCTAATAGTCTAAAAAAAAAAAATACAATAAAATACAGTAATTTAAAAGGTTGTATAGGAGTAACGGAGATTGAGAAGAATAAAATGTGAGATGTTTATGTATTGACTAGGAAGTTAAATTGGGTGAAAATATATACTAAAAAATAAAATTATCATTATGATTGGTGGGAGCTTTGTAATCAAAATTTTTGCCGAGAATTAGTTCCCTGCACTATAACTTTTATCTTTTTACAGGATGTAGGGAATTAATGTATGATTTAATAATGAACTCCTTAATTGTTATTTTTTTTTGTTTTTTTTTTTGTTTTTTTTTGTTTTTTTTTGTTTGCTGCCTAACGCTTCCTACTCTGTGCATTAACGGTAGGTGTTCCAATTATATCCGAACTGAGAATAAAGGTAGCAAAATAAATAAAAAATATTATAATAAAAATTAAAATAAATCAAATTTAAATTGAAATGAATCTTAATCGCACCCATTAGCTTCAGCTACGGGTAGGCCACCACCTCGAAGTGGTTTAGCAATGCGGCCAAAGGTGAGTCCAGCGAGCGTGGAAGATGCTGCAGATTTTTGAGCTAAAAAATTGACAATACAAGTTAATATATTAAATGTTTAAATGAATATTAAATAATAATAAACTTACATCTTGCTTGTTCTAATCGTTCGCGTACTGCTTGTAACTGTGCCTCGAATCTATTAATCATGAAGAGCAATTAATAATAGTAATTTTTTTATATATAAAGCATTTCACTTTTTAAATATAATTACTTTTGATTCTGTGTAGTAAGTTTCTCTTGCGCGTCTTGCAGCAAGGCTTCCAGAGCCTGAATACGCTCATTACGGGCAAGAAGTTTACGTTCAGCGATGGCTACTTCTTTCTTTAATGATGAATTTTGTTCAACAAGCTATATTTAAAAATAAAATTATTAATGCTTATCATAATAAACAATCTATATTACATCTAAGAGATTAAAAAAAAAAAAAGATAATTTACTTGTTTTTGTACATTTGTTAGTTGTTCTAAATTCCTTTCTAAAAATGCCATCTTTTTTTGTTGTGCCTTATTATTGTTGCTGCGTAACACATTATTGTATTGTTCTCGTGTTTCATCCAAAGAGATTTCAAGCTCAACGACTTTTTCACATCGGTTTTGTAGATCGCGCATTAGAGCTTTCTTCATAATATCAAAATCAGCCAATTGTTGTGCCATGGTTTTGCGAATTCGTTCCATATCTTTTTCTTTATCTGCAACACTTTTCTGGCCATCAGATTTTCCTTCTTTATCATTAAGAGCATTCTGGATTTCATAACCAGCATGAGAAAACAATTAAGTCCCTGCTCAAACATGACTTCAAATAAAACGTTTCTCACCGAGTCAGTCTTCGGAAATACTATTACCTGTAATTCTTCATTTGCTCTCTTCAAATCAGTGAGAGCACTATAAAATAATAGAATTACACCCATTTTAATTTTGGAACATATAAAATTATAAAATATTAAAAGAAATTCATAAGTAAAATTGAAGGCAAAATATACTAACCTGTTAAGTTTATGTAATTCTTCATTCTTTTTCTCTAGCTCTTGTTTCAATTCTTCAATTTCTTTTTGCTGTACTTCTTTCTTAGCAGCGAATTGAGCCTCAAGTTTACCCTATATAGATCTTGGTTAATAATTTGATATTTAACGATATTAAATTAATTTGAATGGTTTTCGGACAACTTACCCTCAATTCTGCTATTGTTTCGGTAATGTCAATGTTGCTGTTTGCTTCCTCTTCTGCAATTGTCTTATCTGTAAAGGTGGTCATCATAAATACATGAATTAACTTTTAGGCAAGTTAAATAACTTCAAGGGTTACCTAGCAGCTCTTCATATTCGGTCTCCAAGGTAGACAAACGAATTTCAAACTCGTCTCTTTGTCTTGTTAGGCGTTCATTTTCATAGTGCAATTCATTAATGGTTTGCTCGTGCGTTGAAACTAACTCTCTCGATTCAGCCAATTCACGACGTACAGTCGCAAGTTCTTCTAAAGTAAGCGAAGTGCTACCTTCTACATCGACTTTTTCAAATTTGAGTAGAGTGTCACGAATTTGTTTCTCTTTAGCAGAGATCACACCAGATGGATCAAGCTCTGCAAGAATCTGAGCCATTTTCTCTTGTTTCTTTTGTTCTTTATCACCTTCTCTTTGAGCCAGTTTAAGTCCAGAAATTGATTTCTGTTAATTCATATAAATCAGAATAAGAATTGTTAACAAAAACATCATTTTTTCTAAGTCTAAGTGTAAAAGTGATAAAATATATAAATGTCGAACAAATACCTTAAGCTCTTCGATCTCAGTAGTCAAGTCTGAATTTTGCTCACGTAAACTGTCCATTATTATAGCATCTTCTTTATGATCATATGTGACTTTTTCCAATTGAACTTTAAGCTCATTAAGTTCGCTTGTCATTTGTTTATTTTCCTGTTGTATTTGAGCAAATGAATCATTCGTCAGAATCAAAATTAATGTAAATAATAATGTTAATAATATATCGTACCTTGGTAATTGTATCTTCTTGTTCTTTATAAGACTCAAGTTCCTCCTTCAGCTCAGAAAGGAGTTTTTCCTTGGCCGCTAATTCAGATTCTTTTTCGGCAATCTGATCATTAAGTTCATTTTCCCGTTTCAACAATTCATCTCGTTCATCTTTTTCTAAAATTGGAGCAGGAGTACCTGGTCTTGAGTCTACTTCAGCTTTCTTGACACCTTCCAATTGTGGATTTGTAGCAGAAGTTGGTGTAGTTGGTGCAGCTGGAGCACCTGAAACTTTTTCCATCGAGACCCATTTCTCTTTTGGTACAGAGTTACCAGAACGCCACATGCCAATTTCTCCTTCGAGAGCTGCAATATATTGTTGGAAACTAACAGCGTCATTCTTGGCCTTCTTAAGAAGAGCTTTAAGCTCTGCAGGACTGAGTTCGGCATTGACTTTAGCCTTATTCTTAATAGACTTGGCTCTAAAGGTTGATAAATAATGTTATTTTTCTAAACATTCGCATTAACAAATAAACAATCAGATTTTTTACATAAATTTTATTTACCTCATACCGAATCTTAACGTACTCAATGTTTCTGCTTCATTGAAAGAGGAAGGTTAACTGTTAATCATCAAGGTTGTTCGGGAGTTACCACCAAGAGATTCTTGAAGAATTCTGGTAAGTTTACTGTCTCGATACGGAATATGTGCTGACTATAATGAAATTAGATAAAGATATTAATGAATACTATGATAATGGATTAAAAAAACAGTACCAAATTTTTTATGATACGTACTTTTCCATCAGTTAAAGCGTTAATAACCATTCCCAATGCAGATAAAGACTTGTTGATTTTCTTAGCTTCTTCAAGAGTTTGACCAGAGGCACCTGTCTTACCGACCTACATTTTCGAATAAAGTGAGTTATCGATCATAAATTCCAGATAGTTTGAAATTCAAGTAAGAACACAAACCTTTTCGGAACCAGCCAAATCGACAAGAGATAGTTTACCACTTTTTACGCTACCATCGGCAAGATTCTTTTGATTGATAGTAATAACAAAAATGGAATGCGATCTTGAACTTTCGGCATTCATGTCTAAAGAATGAGAAAAAATGGTAACAATATTGTTAATAATTATTGATAATGTTACAATGATTTTAACAAAAAAATAAATGAAATAAAATAAAAAAAAATAGCTTACTTGTATATGCAACAATACGAGCACTACCACCACGTTTCATTACTTCGTACACTTCTTGTACGGAACTAACGTAAACTTCCAAAAGGCCTTTCACATAAACACCTCTATTTTTTTCTTCATGTACTGGTAAATTATCGTTTTGGGCTATAATAATAATGTAAAATTTAAAATTAATGATAGTGTAATAATTTTTTAAAAACAAAATGAGAAAGAAGGGTTATACTAACGATTAAGTAAATCTCTAATTTTTTCCATATAAATTTCCATATAAGATACTTTTACAGTGTATTCAATTGTTGGTGGAGAAACAATTATGCTGTGAAAAATTTGTTCCACAATACGGGGAATAAGACCCTTGAATTCTTCATCGTCCATGTTTCCCTATAATATAATTGATATATGCATACAAATCAAAGTGTCAAGAGTGTGTTCAATGTGTCTCGTATCCAAAAAAATAAAAAATAAAAATAAAAAAATAAAATAAAACAATTCTTACCATCATAGTGTGAGTCTTACCAGAACCTGTTTGCCCATAGGCAAATACGGTTCCGTTATAACCACTGATAACCTCTGTTATGATATAAGTTAGAATACAATTAATTAATTACTTATTACAATTAAATAAAAATATCAATAGACTTTAAAACTTGTTTTTACCATCGACAATATGTTTTATAGATTCCTCAAACACACTCTTTTGAGAGGTTTCCGGTGGAAAAATTCTATCAAATGTGAAATTTCCTTGAAATTCTTTACCCTATAATGGATGAGATAGAAAATGTATGAAGAATTTAAAATTTAGTAAAAATATTATTTAGAATGAATTGATTAACATTCATTTTTCTTTATATTATATGCATGTAACACTTGTTATAGCGAACTCTCGGTATAATAAGTGTTCTATATAATAAAAAAATTCTAAATTATAGCGTCATTAAGCTTTGACTCGAGAATTGTTTTTTTCTCGGCCCCAATGGCTTCACTATAACAAGAATCACTTATATTCTCCATACTAGCAAACAAGAAGTGTAATGCACTACACAACATTCTTTGATAATTGCAAGTATGACGAACATTTAAATAATGCAATTGAAATAAAAAACGGAAACTAACCTCCATACGACAAGATTCACCATTGTCGTCAAAGGTAATAATAGGAACACCACCTTCCCTAATTTCACGGGAATTTTGTGGTCGAAAACGACAAACAACTCTAATATTGTTTCCTGCTTGGCTCATTATTATATATTTCTAAAAATTGAGTCTATTCTGTAATTTCATAAGCAAGATGAGGCGAAAATTGAAAGGGGTAAAAATGTACATCTTAGTAAAATTTACATCAATAAAGCTCATCATGTGCTATCACTTTATAATAGAAGCTTTAGAAGCTTAAAATGAACAGTGAAACTTACTGTTGGGGGATATTCTTATGTATACTTGTTCTTAAAGGTTCTTAAATGTTAAAATAGACGTATGATAAAGCGTAGTATTATAACGGGAGCTATTTTTTTTGTATTTTTCGGTAAAGGGGTCTATTTAAGCTGTAAATATAATATATTTTTTATATTTTTATATTTTTTCTCTTTAAAATTCGTCTTCGATACCTGCGAAGGTAGGGTCAGCCGAGCAGGGAAGACAGGGGAGACTGATAAAAAGGCAAAAGGGTCAGTTCGTCTTTAAGCCAACTCTGCGTTAGGATTTGATAAGATTACCGTTATATACTAAACTGATAAGCGTCAGATGGTAGGCGCTGATACTACCAGATACGTAATATAATTCATAATTATTGTAATTGTAATATTATATTTTATTATTTATAATTATTTACAATATAAATAAAATCCAATCATTTACACAAATAGTTGTGAAAAAATTCAAATTTAAATATCGCACAGGTAACTCACATAAAATTCAAGGGCTATTACAAGGAAAAAAACTCTAAATCTTTGACATACGTACGTCCACGATTGTTGCACAATCGTTTCACTAATGGTAATTTAACCAAATAAATACAAAGACGGGCGAACACTTAATCACAATAGCAAAAAAAAGAATTTTTTTTATCTAATTCTTGTCGCCTTAAAACGAAAAAAAAAAATAAAATCTTTTGCTACTAACGAGTTCGTCTGGAGATTCACCCATTGTTGGTATCGTTTACTCTGCAGTTTTCCATATATATAACAATAATCCTTATTTTTGTTTGAATTGTCACAATCTTATGTTTCTGCATGCTAATATTGTGCTCAAATATTTAATATGGAAAGAGTTACATCATTATCCTTGATCAACATAATTTAGCTTGTTTCAGAAGTTTTTAATACTTTCGCTCAAATTTCATTGTGTATAATTGACATATTTCCCATTATGCACCTCTGAACACGGGCAAAACAAACAAATGTTTGAAGGTATATGGATAATTCTGATCAAGAATATACGAGATAACGACAATATTGATAAAAACTGGATTGAATAAAGAAATTTCTAGCCGCAAGGTTTTCATAATAGTTGTAAGCGCAAATCAAAGATTTTACTGGGATATATCTGGATTCTTAAGGTTACACGAATCTTGGCCACGGTTCCTCCGGAAATATTAGGTAATTCAAGGCTATGAAAAATATCACAAATAAATCCTCGGATTATGCAAGACATAATGTTGCAGTGTTGCTTTTTAATTAATTGAAACAAATTATTGTCGTAAGCTTAGTATTAGTTCATACCTGATTTCTAAATCTTCGAATGGCGTTTAGTTTCAATGAAAACAATTGCGGCTGACCTTTCATTCAAACGATTTGACTCCATCGCCCAATTACCAAACATTTTAGCCAATGGCGAGTGCATATGTTCTTTACCAGGTAAATGTACAATCTTCGATTTCACGAAAATATCCTACCTCATAAAATAAATCCAAACTTAGCAATGAGATCTCAATTTGTTCAATCAAAAATTTGCGGTTTAGAAATTGTCTCAAGAATCATTCAGTTATCTTTCAAAATAGAACTATATAAAAGCTTTTTTAGTAATTTTTTTGTGGTCTCATAAGTATCTCAATATCAATGCTAATGCTTGTTGGTTGATGGCTCATATCTACAGATCTAGTATATCTGATCTCTTGTCGAATTACGTAGTGTTTTTACGAAAAGATCTGTAATTCGAAATGTTATTATATATATGAAACGTTTCAGTAAAAATAAAAATTTATGCAAACGTTTACGTGATTTTCGAAAAACCACGACAAAAGCAATGGTAGAAAGGCTGGTTTTCGCAATGGTTGCCCATTATCAATGTCTAAACAGATTTTAAACAATTAAGCGAGCTAAGATGATCTTGTCATTTATAGATATAGATAGATTACACATTTTTATTAGAGTTGCATTTATGGATAAATTCTCTTATAAGGAAATTTTGCAACTGTATCGCTTGACTTATTGCAGTTCCAAAATTTGAATAATTTTTCTAAATTGGATGAAAGTTAAAGTGGTAAAGATCATCTTTGGATACCTAAAGCTAGTCCAAGATACTGAAGTTGAAGTCAAAGAAAGGATCATCTTTGAATATTTAGCCTGAAGCGCGATGTACTTTCGATGTATTAATGAATTTGTAAAATGGTATTACCGACGTGCAGTAGGTTTACGGCTTAAAAGCTCCTCTTAACGTTAAAGGAAAGGGCAAACTTATCCCGGCGTATTCCGAGACAAAATTATTTATGCGTAGCGTACTTGAAATGTATGCAGCTCCTGAAATCCCAATATTATAAAGAAATTTTCACATGTATCTCTATCCTAAAATTTATAATGAATCGCCTTTCCCCGATTCCTGTCCTACAGTCACTGTGTAATTAATTTGTACGATGTGTTATTTCACGTAGCTATATATACTTTTTCTAATTAATCATTAAAAGTCGTAAAAAAATTGTAATTGATGAATAACAAAATTGCAAGGAATTCTTTTAATATAATAGAGATTAGGCTTATAAGAATTCGAATAATCAATCTATGAAAAAGCCTGCAATCAAATTTATATCTAATTTCATACATTTTTTTTTTCTTTTAAAAAAATTTATAATCGAAACAAATAATAAATTACTACCAATGATGTTTTATTTGTAAAACTCAAAGTCCGTGTCAACTTTCTTAACATTCGCTTTATAGCCTTTTTCAATATCTTTACTCAGAATGACATATCGATTTTTTTCGGACTGCTTGCATTCCTGCTTCTTGACAAATAGCATGAATTTCTGCTCCACTTAGTTTGTCCGGACGAGATACGACTATATTAAATACGTCATAATTATATTTAATATTAATTAATATATATTAATTAATATATATGAATTATATTTCAATTCAAAATATATAAGTTCTATCAATGAAAAAACCTGAAAATCAAATTTTCCAATTTTCATTTTGCGGGCGGACCTAGCCCCTGATTGTATTATGATGATACGCAATTGGAAAATATGCAATTGGAGGCATCTGATGACACTAGTAATTCTAGGTATGGTGTTACCAAAACAGAGTAACGGTCATCATGTCATAATACAATCAGATCTTTTTCAGGGGCTGAGTCCAGTAAAATGAAAAATTAAAAATGTTCACAGGTTGTCTCTCATATTAATAATAGTATTTATAAAGAATAGTTAATTAATATTATAATTGATACATACAATCTTCAAGATCAACTTCTTCTGAAAGATTCATTTTAGATGTAATGGTGGAAAAAATCAAACGTTTCTGACGGCGATCTGGGGTGGGAAATTCTATTTTTCGATCAAGACGACCAGGTCTAAGTAATGCTGGATCTAAGGTATCTGCTCGATTTGTAGCCATGATAACCTATAAATGAAATTATGTATTATATTCGGTTTATATAATTATGATGAATCAATAAAATATATACCTTCACGTTTGATGTTTGATCGAACCCATCCATTTGATTCAATAATTCCAATAAAATTCTCTGTACTTCACGATCCGCTCCTGTTTGTGCGTCAAATCGCTTCGTGGCAATTGCATCTATCTCATCGATAAAGATGATGGCCGGTGAATTTTCACGAGCCAACCGAAACACGTCTCTCACCATACGTGGTCCCTCCCCTAAATATTTTTGAACAAATTCTGATCCCACTACGCGGATGAAAGATGCAGTTGTGTGATGTGCAACTGCTTTGACAAGCATAGTCTTGCCAGTTCCCGGAGGTCCATATAACAAGACACCACGTGGAGGATCAATTCCAATTTGTCTGTATAAATCAAAATGTGTTAACGGTAATTCTACTGCTTCTCGAATTTCTTGCTTCTGAATATCTAGTCCCCCCACGTCTGCGTATGTTACATCAGGCTTTTCGTCTGCTCCAAGCATAGCAATGCTACTATCTGCTTCAGGAGGTAATACATCAACTAACGAATTAGAATGACGATGAAGTGCAACAGAAGATGATGGCTTGAGTAATTCTCGGTCAATGGTGCTTAGAATTCGAACCACATAATTCGATCCAGTTGTAGATCCCACAATCCCAGTATGCTGATCAATAGGCTCCAAAAATTGTCCAATTACCAAAGGTACGGACTGAATTCGTTTGACTTCCTCTTGAGCTCTGATTAATTCACGTTTCAGGTTTTTTTGTTCGTCCTTTATATATTCTTCTTGCAATTCAAGAAATTCGAGGTGTCGTTGGAGTTTTTTAAGCTTTGTATATAGATCCCCTTCGCTTAAATCTTGAAGTAATTCGCTCTTCTCTTCGGGAACGGACTCCTAGCACATAAATTGTAAATTTGAACGAATGGATCAAATTCTGTCTACTGCTTGCGCGCTCTCGGACAAACCATCGGCGCCAAGCTAAAGCAGTACTGCTATTTAAAGTATTAATTATTTAGTGAACCCAACCTCACTTTTGACAGCGATATCTTCCATCGGTGATTTTTTAATTAACGTTTGACTAGGTTTTTTTTTTTTTTTTTTATAGATTGAAACTGGCGTCAATTTGACTTGCGTCATCCATTACGTGTACCGAGTTTGCAGAAATTGCTCTGACCAATTAACCAATTATCAGATCTTATCAATTTGGCAACGTGATAATCACGCGCATATAATTTAAAAAATTTTTTTTATAAATTTATTTCTTGATAAAAATTTGTTCGTTCCTTCCTTACATTTTCATTCCCGTTTGCAGAAGAGTGATGGTGAGTTTTATCCATGCCATTTAAATGTAATTGATTTATGATATTTATTTAAATAAAAAAATGGAGCGGACTTCTTTCTTAGCTGTTACTTTGAATATTTATCTTGATACGATTTTTAGTTAATTATTTAAAAATGAGATGATAATTAATTTCATAATAAAATGATAAAGTGACTAGTTGCCAATGTAATCGATAATAATTTTTCATTTAATAGCCTTCAAGACTCAAAAAGAACAGAAAGAAGCGCGGACACGTTTCCTCTGGGCATGGCCGTATTGGTAAATTGCTTAATCCGTGATCTATATCATTCGATATCATTCATATCAAACAATAATGATCTTTTATTATAAACATCTGATTCAACCAAAAGGTAAACATAGAAAGCATCCGGGAGGTCGAGGTCTTGCAGGTGGTTTGCATCACCACCGTACTAACATGGATAAATACCATCCTGGTTATTTTGGTAAAGTTGGTATGAGATATTTTCACATGACACGTAATAAATTTCATCGTCCAATTATCAATCTGGATAAGTTGTGGACTTTGGTTTCTGAAGAAACGAGAAAAAAGCATGAGAAAGATACCAGTATGGCACCAGTTATTAATATTTTAAATGCTGTAAGTATTCCCATATCATATGTACTGTATACACATAGATTTATACTAATTTATTTGATTTTCATATTTACGATTTTTTAAGGGTTATGGTAAAGTTTTGGCAAAAGGTCGTCTTCCAGAACAACCTGTGATTGTTCAGACACGATATGTCTCTAGAAGAGCAGAAGAAAAAATAAAGAAAGTCGGTGGTATTGTTCAATTAATTGCTTAGTAAAATTAGGGTTGGTAAAGTCCTTGGGTCTTTAAAAAGTCCTAATATACAAATTAAAATTTATTAAAAATAATAAAATTCATTTCAATTGCAAATTTCCGCTATTGCATAATTCTGGACACCTAATCATCAATCAATAAAGTTTAAGATCATAATCCATCTAATGATAAACTCCGGGGATCCTAGTGGCAGTAGGATCCTTGGTTCTCGGTTGTGTCTTAGGTTGCGAGTAATAGTTACCCCAAATCCACCCTTTTACAGCATACAGTATAGTGGACCTAGGTTCTAGGACTAAGTCTTGGACTGGACCTGAAGTTCTAAAACTGGTTTTATGAGGACTTGGTCCACAAGTCCATGCAGTAAAACCTACAGGTTACGAGATCAGGACTGGACTTTATCATCCCTAAGCAAAATACGATGATATTTAATTTCAACTTGATACAGTGTGAGATCCAATTCTTTAATACTCATATTCAATAAATGCAAGATCATCTACAAAATTTTGTACAAAAATTTGGTCATCTTTATCTAAGCATTAGGGGTGATACAATAAAATTAATGATTTTTGGGAATACAATCCAATGACTAAAATGTATCTTAAACATGGGTCATTTCTATGAAATTTGCTTGCGAGTTACGCGATTGTTTAATTTTTAATTTTAGAAATTTTAAAGCAAATGAGACTTTTTCTAAAACTACAAACTCCAAATTTGTCAGAAACAGTAATTTTTCTAACAACTTTTATTTGTAATGTGATGTGATTCTATTTTGTTATATTCTGTAAAATCAAGTTGGTAATTTTTTAATTATTCTGTTTTTATATATAGTATTTTAAATTTTAAATTTAGTATTATTGCAAATAAGATTAAAGTGTTTAAATAAAAAATTTAGATATATACAGTATATACTACTATATATATATATATATATATATATATTGTGTAGTAGTAGTAGTAAATATATACAGTAATCAATTGATAAAACTTATATATACAGTATATATTGTATCATAAGCTAAATCTTAAATTTTCTAAGATTAATTGGTTTAACTATCAAAAAAAATTTTTATAATTGATAAGAGCATGGTTTCACCTTTAACATTAAAAAAAAAAAAAAAAAATTTTTATAATTGATATATACAATATACTGTATATACTGTATATTATAACTGATAAAACCGATACGCAGAAGCTTTTTTTTTTTGTTCTATAAATATGTGAGCATTTTTTGTTCAAAGTTTTAACTCATAAATACAGAAATATAGTAGTAGGCAATTGTATTCGATTATACCACGTGACTAATACTCGACAGAGGATCTATTTGATTGGTTAAGGACAAACCCATGCGAGTTTTTCAAATAATCATAAAAATCATAAAGCATTATATAGTAGATAACACATAATTAGTTTATATAACGAATTCATTTATCAAGTATAATATTACATCGGACAATTTGTTGTTCTAAGTTTTCACACAATTTGTTCTAATTCACGCGCATAATTAAGCGCTTGTCTAATAATATTTTCATGCGGTATCTCAACCTGATTGTCATCTTTAGTCGTGAAATAAATTTTCTGCTCCGTTGGATTTACATTCCACCCACGCTAGAAAATATTATGATCGTAAGATTTACATGAAAGAAAAGCAATTAAAGAGTAAAGATTGTTGTTAACTAGCTCACCTCAACCGCAAAATTCATTACATCGTTAAGCTTACTAAAGAACAGTAGTGTCGCAGCATCGTTCAAAGGCAAGCTTGAATACGCTTTTTCACTGCAACTTGCAATCTCGCTCCTAATTATAAAATTCAATATCAGCATTAAAAAAAAAAAAATTCAAATTACGACACAATCACACATAATCTTCGAAATTAATAACCTGATAGTCCCCATTAAAATATCAATGAAAAAAAGATACTCTGGTGCAGGTACTTCTTCTCTAGCATTCCACACCTTCTTATAACTTCCTTCCATGAGATATTGTTCTAAATGAACTGGATGTTTGATAAAAGGATTTTCCAAAAGTTGTTCTGGTTCAATATTTTCCAAGGCAGTATGAAATTCAGCGATACGATTTTGGGAAAGTAATCGAAGAAGATTCAATCCGGTTAAAGGGTACATTTGATCTGAAGGTTTGAGCTGCGAACTATTACCAGATTTATCAATACATAAGTTGATAAAGGAAAAAAATTGATCGCAATCAACGAATGACTTAATGATGACGAACAGACCTGTAGTCGGTGTAATATGTATTCAATTGGGCTATATATCGTTCAAAGGATGGTATGTCCTTAACGCGAACACTCCAGTAGGCTCCAATTTCTAAGATTTCACCTAATCAAATATATATAAATGATTACATTGCCATTCGATATTGACTATAAAACGTACACTTAAATTTTTCATACGTGCAATAAGAAGTTCGTCCGCATTAGTAACTTCTCCGGGGAGCAAAAGTTGCATTTCTGATAACGCAATCTAATCATACCACTAACGTTAATTTCAATGATGCATGGCCTCGAAATGTTATTTCAGTAAATAATAATTATATTAATTAAAAATATGACAAGTATAAAACCTTGAGTTTTGCTAAATAAGTGCCACATTTATTCAAGTCAGGTGAAGCAGAAGTAAATTCATCTTTGAGAGTCCTATAAAGTTGCGAAGCTTGTTGTATTCCTCCTGGCATATTTTCTTAAAGATATGATTATTTGATTATTTCAGATATTTGATTATTTGAATTCAAGATATCTTGACGTAACACAGATTAGGTAGTTGCTTGCGTAATTCTGTAATTTCTACATATCAGATATCGATATCCATATGCACTATATTTACTGCATAAAATTATAATTTAACATCCTTCGCTTATTCTTTACAGGAAAATGGCTACATTCGGCGGAGGTTAATACATTTATTTGCAAAAAAGTTTGTGTGTCGACACCCTAACGTAAAAGTTACTGACAAAATTTTAATTTTTTTCTCCGATTTGTCCATTGACAGACGAAGTTTCAGCTTTAGTTTTAGATGTTGGTTCGTATTGGACTCGTGCCGGATACGCCGGTGAAGATACTCCAAAAGCTGTCTTTCCTACTTCGTATGGATACATTCCGGAAGCAGAAACAGCTGCTCCAAATATCGATGAAGATACTATCATGAAGAATGCAGACAGTGACGCGACGAAGGGCGAAAGCGCGTTCGCTGAAAATACCCTTAACAAAAAGGAGAAAGGAAAATACATAATAGGAGACGCGGAAGTGGCAGCATGGAGATCTAACATGGAAATTAAAAATCCTCTCGTTGACGGCTTGGGTATACATATGCATGCGTTCTTTCGGCGATATTTCATTTCATAATTCACATGATTATATTATTTAGTACAAGATTGGGACGCGCTGGAAAAAATTTGGGATCATGCATTGCTTAAGAGACTGCAAGTAGATCCAACAGAACATCCATTATTCGTAACAGAAGCAGCTTGGAACACTAGAGAGATTAGAGAAAAACTTACTGAAATCGCGTTTGAAAAATATCAAGTGTTGGCTTTTTATGTAGCAAAGAATCCGGTGCTCTCAGCGTATCCTTTATTCAAAAGAAGCAAATGTTAAGTTTTTTTTTTTTATTAAAAATTCTTTGACAATCTGTTGTTAAAAGCTTTGCAACAGGACGCCCAACAGCCGTTGTTCTAGATTGTGGTGCTAACACTACGAGCTGTGTTCCAGTAGTTGATGGATACGTTCTTAAAAAAGGTTAGGTGTGATTTTTATATGAAGCATCATTAAAAGTTTATAATTTATGTTCTAATCCAATCTTCAATAGGAATTTACAAACAACCAATCGCCGGCGAGTTCTTATCGGATCAAATTATGCAACAATTCCAAAAACTCGATATTAACGTGGTACCACATTATTTGATCGCAAAGAAGACAGTTGTAGAGGCTGATCAACCAGCCAATGTTGTACATCGTGACCGACCGAATACAACAGAGAGTTATCATAAATCTATGCAGATGGTAAGAAGTTGAAGGGGCTGTTTGAAGATTTCAATTAACCCCAAAGTTGATGTGTAATCGATCGCTGATTATCAGCGAACATAATTGGTGTAGAGAGTAATACACGAATTTAAAGAGTCTGTTTGTCAAGTATTTGAGTCAACTTACAACGAATTGTAAGTGTCTTAAAATTAAATTGTTGCTTTTATAATATTGAATATTACTTTATTAATCTTATAATTATCCTTTAAGAGTAATCTCCGCTCGTCCAATGAAAACTTTCGAGTTCCCCAATGGGTTCAACACATCATTCGGTATCCAACGATTCGACATACCAGAAATTCTATTCAATCCACCAAAATTCATAATTCAGGTCAGGTTACAAAATTAAATTAAATATATAACCAAAATTTGACAATTATATGTAGATATATTAATCACACTTTACTAAATAGCCTGATCGACCTAGCTTCGACACAAAATCTTTGTTAGGAGTGCACCAAATGATCTACCACAGTGTTTTAGCTTGCGATATTGACATGCGTCCTCTTTTATTGAATAATATTATTCTAACCGGTGGTACTACTTTGCTACCTGGATTTGCCGATCGTGTAAATTATGAATTGTCTATGATGGTTCCCGGGGTAATACATCTACAAATATCAAAATATCAGCATCATTTTTAAACCAATATGTTATTGTTGGTTATTCTATATACTATATTAATTTGAGACATTCTTTTTTAACACAGATGAAAGTCAAACTCCATGCGCCAGGAAATACTGTTGAACGTAAATGTAGCAGTTGGCTAGGAGGCTCTATTTTGGCTTCATTGGGAACATTTCATCAATTATGGATTTCTCGAAAAGAATATGACGACCATGGAGCAATGATTATTGAAAAGAAATGCGAATAAAGATAAGTCTGTAAGTAATACGAAATAAGAAAATTTTTAAATCAGAAATGTCGATTAGGCCATATAAAATTAATTTTTTGGTTCTCATAACATAAAAAAAAAAAAAAGACCCGACAGGCCGGACTTTTATTTAAAAATTTTTTAAATTATAAAATTTAAATTTTAATTTTAAAAAATAATAACCCGGCATTATAGTATTAAATAAAGTAATGACTCATCTATCTGGACTTTATTTAAAAAATTTTATATATAAAAATTTTTTGAAATCCCACCCGGCTATTAAACCATATAAAAAATTTTTTTCAAAATATGACCCGGCCGGGTTATGAGAACCAAAAAATTAAGTTTATATGGCCTTATATTCCACATAACATTAACCAATCCACATACAATAAAATACTTAGTGATTAGTAAAACTAGTGATTGAACGCGTCTAGGTGATCCGTGGGTGGACCCACGGGTCACTCAGTTAATAAATTGCATGTTGCAAATATAAAACCAGAATATTGTAATATTGAATTTTAATACGTTGTGCTTCAGCATATAAATATATTTGTTTTATTCAGTATATTTTATTTTTTATTATTTTTTTTTATAATCAAATTGAAAACGCTTAAAAATTTTTTAACAATTAATTGTTTAGCCCAAAAATTTGAGGCTAGCAACTAACAATAATATTCTGCCTAAACTATAAGGCTAGTTTTATTCGATTAAAATAATTTCAATACTAACAAGTATTATTTAAAAAGCAAAATTAAGTTATTGTAATAATATTTGATCTGTACCATATTCACCTTTTCACTAAGTAAACTTGTGTAGCATAAAATTTTATTGTAATAAGTAAAGTTCATGAGTTTATGATTTTAAAATGTCGATACTTTGATCGCAAAATTTAAGAGCTAATTTGTAAGTGAAATGATTTTAGGCTAAAGTTTTATAATAATTTTTACTTGATCTAATACCCCATGTGATATATTCACTGAATTTTTAAGATTCAGTGATGCGATACGAATTCTTGATGCTAATTGAAAAGTATACCGTAATTTCGCGGAATAACGCGCAGGGGTGTAATTTCGAATTTTGGCCTAAATTAAGCCTAATTCGGGCCAAAATTCGAAATAACGCTCATGAGCGAAAATACGGTAAATATTTAATTACATGATAGGTAGGGTTGCTACCCAAACTTACTAGTTTGGGATTTGGTAGAATCCCAAATAGTATCTACTATGCTTCGAAAAATACCTCTAATTTGCCGTAATGTCATATTCTGACCGATAAATTATATTACAGCCATAAATCCCAAATTTTTTACATATAAAAATTGGGTTGAGACTAGTGATGCAGGCGGAACTGTCCCAATGAACCGTACGACATTCGGCAAGTTACGGTTACGGTTACGGCAAAAACAATAAGGATCCCAAATGCCGTATGAATCCCAAATACCGTATGAATTCAAAAATGCCATATCGATATTCAAAATTAATGCAACTAAGATTTGGGTACCGATTAATCTATGTAATTAATCAATCAATTAATCAATCATGTAATTAATCATATGTAATATAATGATAATAAAAATTATTTATATATATTTTTTTGTAATTATTTTTTTTTTCTTGAATTATTTTCAGCGAAAGTTTGTTTAGTTTCTTTATGATGAATTTAAGCAAAAATAAAAATAATTCTGTTCCGGAAGATAATAATAATTATGATCCCTACACTTCATTATCTGAATTAAATTACAATGTTAATCAACTTTTTACATATCAATCTTCTCAACAACTACCAAGATCGATTCAAGAACAAAATGAAATTATTACGCCTCCTCAAGTTAATGATGATCATGATGTCATATCTGGAGAAGAAAGTCCTTCTGAACAACCTAATAAAAAAAAACATCGTGGTGGGCCTAAACGAGATCCAGTCTGGGATTATGTTGATATTGGCGATCATTTAGGAGATGGGCATTACAAAGCTAGTTGTAGACATTGTCTAGTTGTGTGGAATCGTGGAAGGCCACAAATTCTTAAACGACATTTGGCACGAGAATGTGCAAATGTTCCTCAACAAATTAAAGAAATATGGCGTGATAGTTTAGCAATGGAGGAAAAAACTATTAAAAGACGGAATAAAATTGAGTCTAGATTGTCTTCTTTATTTAATATTTCTAATCAATTAGA